TTGCATAGCAGTAGAGCTATCACAAAGCCATGTTGTATCATTCATAAAAACTAGTGGCAGAATAGAAACACTCATAGTAGTAGTGTTAGTAATAATGTCGAGAGGAGATTGTGAAGCAACTTTGAGAAATTGGTTGTGGTATTTTTGATGAATAAAGGAGAGATAGTATTATAGTAGATTTGCCATAAAAGTGGAAAGTAGGTTTCTTCTTGATTTATTCCAGATTGAATTTTTACAGGTGATGTGAGTTCATAGGCAGTAATAATTCTTGCTTGTCTTGTTGAGTATAGGTCTGTGATTAGATTTCAGTTGGGGAATATACCAAATTAGGATAGTGCAGATCGCACCTTTTATAGTAACAAGATGTCGATCAGAATATTCTAGATTTTCTTAGATTGTTTTAAGTATTATAGTTATATAGAGGTTTTGCAATAGAAAGAGTCTAAATGCTACATATAATATATAGCATTTAGGCCTTTCCTACTGCAAAGACCCTATATAGCTATATATAATTCTGTAATTGCCATTCCAATTTTTTTTTATAGTCGAATAGCTTAACCAAGTACACGATATTGTCAATTAAAATGCATAATTGTTCAAAATAATGTTTGCCATTGTATTTAATGAATAAAATTATCATAAATTTATCAAAATCGCTTCAAATTAAAGTAAAATACAAGTAGAAAACATCACCGACAACCAATAATATCATAACTTTTAATACAACTTTATGAGTAAAATTTATTTCAACTCAAAATTACCATAACTAATAAAGGTATAAATTAAAAAAAAAAAAAAAAAACTTGAAATTCAAGAAAAAAAAAAAAAAGAAGTCAAGCAGCTATGACCACCCCGGTACATATTATTTAGGTGCTTACCAAAAGCTAATTGAATTAAACGAACCCGGGCAATTAAATACATTATTCGTTTTTTTTTGAACGCCAATTCCACTTAGATAGCAATTTAAAAAAATAAAAAATAAAATAACTTAAAAAAAGAAAAAAAAAGAAAAAAAACAAAGTCAAGCAATTATGACCACCATCCCAGTACATATTTTTTTAAGCGCCTTACCAAAAGCTAATAGAATTAAATGATACCCGGGCAATTAAATACATTATTCATTTTTTAAACCCCAATTTCATTTAGATAGCAATAATTAACATTAAATGCTCCATCATCACGGCGAATATTGGATAAATGAATGCCTTGGTTTCATTAATTTTTATGGAACAAAACGTTATTTGTTACAGATATGGAATTTGTGCGGCTGAGAATAAAGGTATATCCTATAGTTGGATTATCAGATAAGTTATTTCAGTACTGCAAAATTCAAAGTTTACATTTTAATGTAACAATAGCCAACTAATTTATTCCGTTAATATTACCTATCCTTACGCCTCATTCTTATTCTTGCCAATTCCAATTCCAATTCCATTTTCATAGCGATAGTCAAGGCTGAATTTTTCATTAGAAAGGTCTATATCGACAGATTTTTGATAATAATTGAATGCTTATATTCATCCTTTTTGATTCCAACAACACCTTATAAAATAAATAAATAATAATTAATGACTACGTTACTATTCAAGAACATACTATGAGATAATAATAACATACCATTTGCTACTCTTCCAATGTTCCAGACGTTTTGCAGTTGAAAATATCTCGTGGCTAGTGTTATAACGATCGAGTACGATTGTAAAATCACTGTGTTTTTTTGTTTAAGAGGCATCTTCAAATTCAAAGAAAGGCCACAAGCAAAAATTGATTTGTAAACCCATCCCTGCTATTAAAAAAAAAAAAAAGCCCTCAAACAGGAATCGCAAGTTAAACTAATAGCATATCAATTAACACTTTCGAAAATGTAATACCTGGGTCAGTAAACCTCTCATATCCTTTCTTACCGCACAGCACTTGGAATGTAATAGGTTAACAGCCATCACTAAAATATTACAAAAAAATGATTACATTCAAAAGCGACGAATTCAAAACAAGATCTTTGGATAATCAGGATCTAAGACGTAGTAAATCATATGATTATAAGTAAAAGCCTAATACACACGTGTAACACTAAAAAGGTCTCCTCATTTTCCAATTTGAAAATACGAAAGATGGATCTAAGAATCAAGAAAGCCATAAACACTATGTTTTAGTAAAACCGTACTAAACATAATTTTTAATACAGTAATAGTACAAAATCCTAAACATAATAAATCAGATTATAAAGATAAAATCTTATTAATATAATAACCCAAATTAAAACAAACAAATATATAAAAAAGAATAAAAATACTTAGCCATATTAACGAACATATATATTTCTAGATAGAGCCATGATCGTATTTATTTTATTCTTCTTGATCTATTTCGACATTTTCTAGACAGTCTTGATCGTTAAATGCATTATCCATTTTGAACAGGCATTTAATTTCTTGTAATATTTCCAACAATTCTTCTTGACTTTTCGACTTTAACCTTGAATACCTTTTTTGAGCACTTTCACTAAGCTGTTCAAGAAGAATTCCAATCTTAGTCAAAATTTCGGATTTAGTCATATTTCTTTCATCTTCTTGAGCTTCGGCTTCTTTTTTTGTAACCGGTATTGGCCTAAATAAACATGTATTGTTTTTATTAATAAATGTCTCAATAATGAAATTTTGTCAAGCCAATTTTGCAAAATAAGTAAAATTTTTTAATTTCTCATCCAATTCATATTCTTCGCCTAGACTCCGACAAACCATTCTTGAATTCACCGGCTTTACAAATTCAAGACTCCGCAAAAGAGCTCGAAATCTTTGACATTCTATGCTTGATTCTGGTCGACTTCTTGGTCCTGATGGCTGAGAATCGCTGTATCCAATAACTTTGAATAGGTTGTTTCTAAGCTAAAATTGATTTTAAAGATTAATTTTATAAATTTTAATTAATTAAAATTTAAATTAATGTTACCTCAAAAAATTTTTTGCAATTGTGCGCCGCAATCTTCCAATGACGATGTTGTGGAATAGGTGGTATTAAAGCTTTTAGAGTCTTGTTTATCTCTTCTAGAATTGCATCCAATCCTTGATGTTGTTCATAGCTTCCTGACCGAGAAACAACGCAATTTTTCTCTACAATATCGCATATTTCGGAAGACAGTCGCATCAATTGAACTTCATCAGCAACTTCTATTAAACGGTAAATAGGATGACGTCTCGCAGACCAAATAGGAGAGAACGCTCTTTTAGCAGCCTTTTTCAAAAACGGATCGTTGATTCTTATGGCTTTCTGATAATTGATAATTGCTTGAAGATAGACAAACGTCTGTAATTATAAAAAAATCTATATTAGTGCTGTAAGAAAATAAAATAACCAACAACTTATTTATACCTGCTCATATTTTATCTGGTAAAGTGGATCTTGCTGCTCTTTAACCCAAGAAAGGTATCCTTCAACCGACGGGCTGAATGGTTTTTTACATAAGGCCATAGAAGTTCCATGGCCATTGCCTGACGGTATATAATACAAATAGAATCCCACGACTTATGGTGATCAGTACATTTTTTAAAATAAGAAAGCTGATTTTCAGTTTGATACCCCTGACATATTGCAAATCGTCTTAAATCAATTTCCCTAATAAAAATTAATGCATTAGCAAAAAATAAATAATGAATATAAAGATATATCAAATGTAGAATTTTAAAATTTACCAGTTTAACTCTACAAATGCACGAAGCATATTCATCTCTTCGTGTAATTGCCCGGGTACTAAAATCAACCAAGAAAATTTTTCTCTCAGCTTTGTGGCATAGCGGTATGGGACACCATCGCAGGTTACTACTATCCACTTGCGAGTTCTTTCTTTAATACCCGATATTGTCTCTATATGCGAAAGAACTTGTTCGACATTTGCGATTGAATTAGGATTAATGTTAAGCGGATCGGGAATATAAATTTCGGGAACATTAACTCCTTGGTCAGCAACTTGTTGAGTAAAACTGATTTTAGGAGTATGTGAAATGCCTTGCTCATCGTTTAATCTATAAGGTTTAAAAATAAATGAATTAGAAAATTGATTAACTATATTATTTTCGATCTCAACTGCCTTTTCTTTTTGAATTTCAGTTAATGTTGGCAGCTGTGCTTTACAATCCGGACACGTCTTTTTTCGATTATCAATATTCTGTAAGTTACAATTAGAACAAATTTTTATTTTAGTAATATTGGTTGGTGTAGATGCTACAAGAGAATCAATAATATTAGTAGATTTTTCTTCAGACAATGACACAATCAACTCAGCTAAATAAGTATATAATTCTTCATCAATAATTTTCTGCATTTGAGGACTAATATTAAAGAGTTCTTCGTATTGCGACCTATTAAGAGAATTAAACAACCAAGGTGAATTAGTATGCTGAATCTTGTTTTGCGACGCTATATTAAAAGCAATGAAACTGGTAACAATATGGTAAATAACCATATTGTACCCTCGATCAAGATAATTTTTTTGCCCTCTTTGTTCATTATCGAACGCGAGAAACAAAAGACCATCGGACAATGGTTCTTCATTTTTTGATAACCCATCAAGCCATTTTTGGAATCGATAATAACTTCCAGAACTTATGATATGACTATCAATATTAATAACCATCTTTGATCGAGTAACTGAATATTTAATAGCCAAAATGGCAAGTTGAATTTCTGACACATATTTTCTGTGTCGAGCTCCATAAATCACATCGATTGCTATAGCAATTTGAAAAAGCTTTTCATCAGTAGCTTGATTGTTCTGAACTAGAGTTTCAACAAATTTAAATACAACCTGATTACGTCTGCTAAGCCATTCACGTGGGTTATATGTCATTAAACTCTCCAAAGAAAATCTATCATTATCTTGAATTAATAAATCTACGAGAAATAATTATTAAAAATTATAAATATTAAAAACAAATTACTAAAAACCCAGAATTAATAATAGACTTACTAATATCATCATATAACAGGGCGCGCTCCGCCTTAGCTATTTCAACAATCGAATCAATACGCTTCTGTTGGGTGAAAAACCTTGAATTCCACTGCTCGACAAGAATCTTGTTTTTTCACACTGCTCTTGATATAAATTTCGAGCATATTCATATCATTATAAGCATCCTGTTGCTGCCTCTTTACTTCTTCCATTTGGCTTCTTTGATCTTCTAAATACTGCTGCATTCGTTCGATTCTACAATTGAGTTCTGCTATGAGTTGCGATTTCTGATAATTTTCCTGTTGAGTGAGCTCTAAAAGTTCTCCAGTTCTATCAAGCTCAGTCGCTGGATCAACATAGTTATTAGTTAAAATATCTTCTTCTGTATCGAGCCGGGACCTTTTGCTTTCTTGAACGGAACCTAAAAGATGCTCATAAAACTGGTTAGATGAAACAACCTGATTATAATGAATCTGACAAAGCGAATAAGATTCCAAAGAAAGATTAGCAAGTTCAGGCATGTAAGTGTGAAAAAGTGCAAGTCGCTTAGCTGCTTTCGGGGCATTTGCGTTCCATCATTTCTTATCACTCACTGCACAAGATTTTAACCCGATCTTATCATAAGTCGTAACTAAGCCTGCGAAGATGCATTTAAGATCTCTAGCTTTTGGTTTCAAGTAGTTAGACACTACAAAAAATAGTTTTTTGTTAGTTCGAACTTCTTCTAGCTTAATAATGCGCAAAAAAATTCATAATTTTTAAGCTCTCATCTACTTTTTAGACGTTGGCTTATTGTACAGGATTAATTGGGATTATTGAAAGTAGACGCTTTATACTACTAATTAATATATCGTTTGATATTTGTTGAATATGTATAATATCGAGAAAACCTATGATATGTACTACCGTCGAAAAGGAGTGTCAAAGCCAATTAAATGCACGAAGCCGTGCGTAAATCATTCTAGAACATGATTTCCTTATTTGGTATATTCCCCGACTGGATTTATACTTAATATAGGGATACCTATTTTTTTGCAAGTGTTCTGAAGACATAATAAATTGATTTTATTAAAGGCTTTGGACATATCTTGAAAAAGAATCTAGACCTCTTTATTATATAATTTGTAGTGTTCAATAGATTGTGAAGAATTTGAATAGAAATATGTGTTGAAGAGTTTTTGGTAGCAGCAAAATTTAGATTTGATAAAAGATTGTTATTGGTAATAATTTGGTCAAGTCATTTTGTAAAAATTTTGTAAAAGTTTTTTTGAAAGGCTCAATAATAGAAATTGGATGAACTTGATTAAGAGTAAAGTCCTAATTAGATTTTTTAGGAATAAGAAAAATATTTGAAGATTTCCAATCTGTTGGAACTTTTTGAAGTTGAAAGCATTTATTAAAAAAGAGTTTAAAGAGTTTTTGAGCCTTTGAACTAGCAAACTTAATAAGTTCATAGCAGATTTCTGAAGGGTCTGCTGCTTTTTGATTAGGTAAGTTAGCTAAAATCTCATGCCATTCTTGATCAGAGATATCCTGAAGAAGATTGTTGTAAAGTGAGTCATATTCAGAGTGTGGTTTGTAAAGATCATAAAATTTAGATGAAGGTAGGATAGGTTGAAGTTGTTTTTCTTTAAAGTATTCTGTAAAGTGATAGTGAATTGTATTGAGTATTTTATTCTGTTCTGTTAAGAGAGAGTTGTCAAGAAGTAGTCTATCGATATGTATATTATTAAACCTCTCAAGAATTTCTTATAGAAAAGTTTAGGAGTTTCTAGAAAGAATTGATTACGATTTTTAATCTTTTGTTAGATTTCTTGATAGGTAGTTTGATATTGTTAAATATTAAGAGCAGCTTTGATTTTTTGAAATTCTTCCTTAACTTGGAATATTGTAGATGTTGATATTTAAAAAGAGTAATCTTGGTATTGCTTGATATATTTTTTACAGAATATAGAGAAATTGGGTGAGGTAGGGTGGTTTTTAATTTATTGAATTTCTTTGAAGCAGTAAAATAAAGTGTTTGTTTTGTAAATGTAGTTTTTTTAAATTTTTTAATAGTTTTAATTTTGTGAAAAAGAATGTGTTTAGTAGTAGCTTTGAGAAGAGTTTTCTGAAGTTTGTGCCAGAAAATATTAATTTGATTTTGATTAGTTATAGAATCGATTTGTGCATGAAAATTCTGTAGGTTAGATGTAGTTTGATTAGCATAGTTTTCTAGACTTTCCTTAGAATAGTTCTTCCAAAAGAAAATTTTCTTTGTACGTTGTTTTTTGGTTTTGGTTTGTTTATAAAAATTGATAATTTTAGTATTATGATCTGATTCAAAAATAGTGTTTAGAAGAATGTCTGTATATTCTATATTTGAGATACTTAGATTAGTCCAGATTTGGTCTATTCTACTTTGAATATTGGCATATTAGAATATAAAGTTTGTGGTATTAGAAAAAAAGAAGTGGTAGATATCTTTAAATTGATGACTAATAAGAAATTTGGTGAGTTGAGATTTAGGTATTGATGTTGATTTAGATAGTAAATGGTCAAGTTGAGAATTAGAATATTTGGAATTTAAGCAAAGTGTGATGATTTGTTTTTGAACTTCTTTACAGAGTTGTTTCTTTTCAGATATAAGAATATAGATTTGAAGTAATCTAATAGATAGGCTTTTGAAGTATAAATCAAATCCAATTATATATCCATCATAGCTATGTGTTCGTGCTATATACTTGGAAATGTTTTTGTGTATAAATAATCCTACACCAGCTTGGTGTAGATAGGAGGAGAAGCTCCAGTAATTAATATAATTTGAGATTTTCCTATTAAAGAATTTACCCTCTTTGGATGAGATATGAGTTTCTGAAAATCCAAATATATTATATGAGTTTTGGTTTAGTATTTCTTCAATAAGTAGTTTTTTGGTAGATTGAAGTAATCCATTTACATTAAGTGATGCTATATTAAGAGTAATAGATTTAATCCTTGTTCATCAAAGTTTATATTTTCTATTATAGAAGGTATAGTATTAAGATTGTCATCAAAGTTTAGAGTATTAAAGTGAGTAGTTCTGATTGGAAAGTTTAAGTATTTGGTTATTAAAAATTGTTCAATTATTGTGTAGTTGGGTAACAAAGAGTAATCATTAGGTAAGTATATATGTGATTCATTAAAGAGTAATTAACTGAAAGTAAAATGTTTTTGTTGAATTTTTGTTTTTTAGATGTTTTAAAAAGAATTTAAGTGTTTGATTTGGAGATAAAAGTGGTAGGTTAAAGTATAAGAGAAATTTGTTATAGCAGATGATAGAGTTACAGGATTTTAAAGATGTTGAAAGTAACTCTAATTTAGATTTTTCTACAGGGTCACTCGCCGTTTTAAGCTCGGTTTTCACAGCTGCGCAGGATTCCATAGTTTGCTCTATACGTTAGATCTGACCATTATATAAATAGTCCTCCACGTAAATGGGCTTTACTGCTGCCCACTTATATCATTCCCTTCATTAAATACAACGGTTGTATCAATTAATAAAGTAGCAGCTGCATTAATGGAGTTTGTAGAAAAAATGTTTAACAAAAAGGATTAAATGAGTGAGATTGAAGAGTATTAGATAAGAGTGTTTCAGCATAAGATTTGGTGTGTTGGGAGGTTTATTAAAAGTAGTAGTTAAGTCATCATCTATTTGCATATTGTTATTAGGATTAAATGTTTGGTCATCATCTAGTGTATTAATATTAGGAGGAGATGCTTTAGTTGTTTTAAAAAGGTAGGAATCATTGAGATTTTTAATAAAAGTAAATTAAACTTTGAATTTTTCTAATAAAATCTTTTCAGCTTGTGGGTAGAAGTTAGAAATATATTCTTTGTAGATTTGAGAGATTGTAACCTTTTCTTGATTCAGAATATAGTAAAAGGCTAGAATTCTAGCTAAAAAATGAGTATTGACAGGAGTGGCTGTAATTTTTTTTATGGCTTGATAAGAGCTGAGACCAGAAATATCATCATTTTTTGCAGCTGCTCTAAGGTAGATATAAAAATAAAATCTTTTCCTATAATTATCAGTTTCTACTTCATTATCTTTAGTAAACTGTTTCTTGATATTTGTAGTAAGTTTGTGTAGGAGATTAGTTGGTGTTGGGTTTTGAAAAGTAGCAGAATATTTGTTATCTGCATTGAATATAGAAAAATCTAGAGTAGAGTGTTTTAATTTTAGTTTAGAAAGTAGATCAGTAGTGGAGGTTGAGGAAAATTTGTCAAAAGATTTGGTAAGAAAGAAAGATGCTAAATTTTTAAAGTTGTGTTCTGTATTGTTTGGTAAAGTTTGACATGGGTTGTCCTTATTATATATACAGATGTGTATGTAGTAGAGTGCTGCTTTAGTGCGAGGGTAATACATTCTCTATATGAGGAAATAGAGTGGATGGTGAAAGTTTTGGGAAGGAAGCTTTTGCAGATATCTGCAAGCTAAGTTGCAATTTGGTACTTAAAAAAATTGTAAGTCTTCTTTTTATCTATTTTGAAGAATTGATATTGATAAACTTTAAAGAAGGCTTCAAACCAAGTATCAAAGTTGGTTATATGTGGTTTAAGAGATGGAATGTAGAAGTCATTTAAGAACTGTGTTTTAGGTATATTGAATGAGACATTAATATTGAACTTATTATTATTTTGAATTTTAAATAAAGGTTGGTTTTTCATATCGATGGAAATAAAATAGTGGAGATTGAAATGAATAGAGTGAATGTTTAAGTCTTGGATAAATTTAGCTCTGTTAATAGTTTGGTACTCACCATTAAGAAAGAGGTGAAGTCAAGCAAAGTTAAGTGCAACATTATAGCAATTAGAAGTAGAATAAGGTGGAATGGAATTGTGAGATGCAAAGATCTTTGAATAGTTGAGTTTAGTAAAGAAAATATAAGTAAATTTAGTTAAAATATTTTTAAATGAAGTATGTACTATCTCAAATGGGATAATAATATCTTTGTTAACAGATGAGTGTTGTTCGTAAATTAGTTCAGTTAAGAATTTGGGTTGTTGTCCTGCCATTTGTTTAATTAAATAGTTAAAGCTATATTTAACATCTGATCTGTTTACTTTTTTGTTGATTTGTCCTGAAGCAAAATCAACAAGAAAAGGTTTAACAAACTCAAAAATCTGCATGTTGAATTTAGTAAAGGGCTCCATTGTAGAGGTGATAGGATAGGTTCTAAACCAATCAAAGTCATTGGATATATTTCACTTAGGTTGTTTAGTATTTTGTTTTTCTTTTAACAATTGCTAGAAGTTTTTAAAGATTTTTTGATTTACAGTTTTTTCCATTAAGGCAAATTTAATTATATAAAATGCACTGTGTGCTTTGAATGTAAGTGGTTGAGTTTGAGGGATAGGTTGGAGTTTGAGTTTGTAGATATATGCAATATAAGCTGGATAGCCTTTAAAGACTAGAGTAGCTTTACTTAAAAGCGTATATTTGTTGTCTTTTAGGAATGCACAAGGAATATCTTTGATTTTGCAGATAATATATGTATTAGCATGATGAGAGTGTGTTTGTATTTGAGGTGTCTGAGATGATTTGCCAGATGTTTAGTAGTAGAGTAATTAAGTGTGAATAAAAGAGTAAAAACAGATGTAGATTTGGCAATAAGAAATTGTGAGATATCATCTCTTAGATTTCTGACTTGTTTGGGTGTTAGATCGATATTCATTGCTTTAGGTTGTTGAGAAGAAGGAGGAGTAGCTTGTCTAGATGAAATATTCAAGTAACTTGAAGTAAAGAAAGAAATTAAAAAAAACTCTTTCCTCAATCACTTACACAAAATTTAACTAAAAATTTGCCAGAATAAAATATTTAATAACACAATATTTTACTAAGATAACTACTCTTAAAATCTTAAGTAAACTTGCTTAGCTCTAAATTTTACATATAATTTAAAAGTTTCAAGCCTCTATCTTGAAAACTCGTAGCATAATGCTACAAAAACCTCTTTTGGTTTTAGAATTCAAACTTTTA